ATAAAAGCTCTGTGCTCAAGTGATATAATGGAGCCGTAACCGGTCTGCAGTGCAACCACTGGGGCGTATGCGCAATTGCAGCAAAGAGCCAAAGAGTTCATATACTATAGAGTTGGTTTATATGTTTACACTTTGGTTTTATTGCTCCGCTCATGCATCGTATGCTGCCGCATACGCTTATCTGTGGCATTCGTTCGCCTATTCCACTGGCCGATTATGAATTCATCAAAGACATTGAACATATAAATTCCTATATAAAGAGACGTTTGCATTTTAATTGCGACTCAAATCCAGTTGAACAGAGACGTCCAGTCTCAGACAGAAGCTGCTGCCGTAGACTACATTCGAATTTCTCAATTCAAGTTTAAGCAACGCTCAGAGGCGGACAGACCCAGACTCACTGAGTCAGTGCTAAACGACAGCGCGTCGCGTGTGGACGAGTTTCTGGTAGTCTGTGATTTATAAACGAAGCGCAAATTATAAAAACAAAACAACAAAACGAGCAAAGAAGTAAAAAACAAAAAAAAGTGTTCAGGTACAAATTGTATTAGGCAATCGAGCATTCTACATAATAAGCAGATGCTATGTACTGGACTTGAAGCATCGCCTGGCTTGGCCAAAGGCGAGCGCTAACCAGTTAGCGACGCACCTGTGCTATGAGCCCGGCTGGGCTGGGCTGGCTGGCTTCAAGAATTCATCACATTCTCGACTGTCCGGCAGAGCGTGTTGTGCATACAGAAACAGTCGAGTCTTTTGTTTTCTTGCCGGCCAACTCGGAGAACTGAAATGTTGCAAGCAAACCTCTCAGCCGCTCAGCTCGCAGAGGGCTCTGGGCTGTTTGGCAACACTGTTGGCCAAGCAAGAAATTAATTTTGTTTCACCTGTTTTTCAGCCGCAAAATGTTTGCGCTATTCGGAGCTGCTTTGCTGCTCTTGCTGCAAGCCACACTGGCCCCAGCTCAGGTAAGTTTACTGCCGCATTTCTTCTTCTTTTTTTTCTTGTTTGCTTTGTTTTACAGCCAGGTTAAAACTAAGAACTAACTCTAACTACCAACTCAAATTTCTTGTTTGTACTTTCCCAAACACTTGCCATAACTATGCGCTCATGTGTGCCGTTGCTGAACTTCGTGATTAAGCAAAGCTTAACCAAACTACAACAACAACAACAACTGCCACAAGAGCAGCAGCAGACCAAGCTGCCCTTGCCACAAAGCCATTTAGTGCTTAATTCCTTTAGCACTGGTCCCCCACAAATATTTCAATTATTTCGTGAATGCAATGCATCCCATCAACTACCTCAAATTGTTTTATTTATCAACGACCTCAGCAAAGACTCGACCAGCGCAAATCGAACAAAATCGAACATAGATAGTGAAGGGTTTATGCGGCAGGCGATTTCGCAAAAATAACTGCGAGAGAGTAAAGCTTTCCACGACTTCTCTAAGAATTAATTATATCAATTTACGTAATTTCAAGAATTCTCAAAGTAGCATTGCATTCATTATTATCATAGCTAATAGAAGAAAGTGATATGGGGTATGTCATAGCTATTAGCATATAGATTATTATCTTTGCTAATTTCCAAAAGTTGCTTTAAAGGTTTCTCATTTTAAATGAGTTTAAAATTATATGAATACAAAAAAAAAAAAAGTTTAAAACTGACTTCTACGTTCACCTTTTCATCTAAAATTTGTATTTTAAACGGAAAGGTGTAAGGTGATCGAGAAGATAATTTATATACACTTTATAGGCTCTGCCACGCCTCCAGCTGTTTGTTATATTCATTTCCATAGGGCAATTTAGCAACTAAAATCTCTTAAAATTTTAAATCGATCTTTGATAGAAATAAATATATATTTTATAAAGTGGCAAATATTAAGCTTTAATATGAATTATATTTGATATAACCAGAATATATATGCAGAAGCCGGTTAAATGTTTGTTTAAAATTTATGAGATACCCTAATTTAATTAAATTCATTAAACTGCCAATTAGTCATACCCTCAAGGAGATAAGCTACATATACAATATAATGCCTTATAGGAAATTCCCATTAGGAATATCAAATGAAATAATTTAATTCTCAGTTTGGCTGGCTACGGCTAATCAACTTTCCACTTCGTAAGACTACAGATGCTTTGTCTCTCTCTCTCCCCCTTTCTCTCTCTCTCTCTCTCTCTCTCTCTCTCCCTTTCTCTCTCTCTCTCGGCTCTGCAGGTTATTTCAAGTTATAAACGAATCAGGTCTAGCCGAAAACCCAATGTTACAGCCAAGAAGAAATTATAATAACTAGTTTAAAATAATATGTTTGCATTAATTAAATTTATATATAGCCAAAGTAAGAATTAAGAAGTAACAAAGCAAAATTAGTTTATGAAATATAAATAAAAATATATTTTAAAAAAATTGTTTTTAAAATACATAATATATGAGTTTAATTCTGTATTAATTAGTTAGTATTTGCATATAGTAATAGAAATTGAAGAGAAAACAGAAATATATAAAGATACAGACAAATATAAATAGAAATATGTAGTTAGATATAGACACAGATATAAATACATATATAGAAGATACAGATAGAGATAGATATACGTAATTGATAATATACTATACAATGAGCCCAATGCCTGCAGCTTAAAATCAAGTTAAAAACCTTTCACTACATAAAACCCTAAATTCTCGCATCGAGTCTCTGCATAAACTTCGTTCTGGCCAAAATCACAAATTGTTGCTATTGCCAATGTGTGTTGCGAAATTTGCGCAAATGCTGGTGTTGATTTTATTTGCGGTTTGCTGCACAAACGGTCGAACACTTGATTCTGTGTGGGGCAGGTGGGCAGGTGGGGCCGGCGAGGCAGCAGCTGGAGAGTGTCCGACAGGCCCATTAAATTGTTGTGCAATGCAACGGCTATTAACTGTGGCAATGAAGAACTTTAGTAGCTCATTCGGCAACTCGGCAACTCGGCGACTCGGCGTGCTCAGGCATTTATAATTATAGTATGAGTGCGCCAAGGTACAAACAGGTAATTACCTTTGAGCAGCGGATAACCCATTAACCCATGTGCTTGACAGTGTGTGTGTGTGTTTGTGTGTGTGTGTGTATTTTTACTCCTTAGTCACGATTATATATCATTTTAATAACAGCATCTGCCTTGAACTTTCGACCGGCCTATGTGGCATCTGATATGCCGCCGCCGTTGCCGCCGACACGAGCGCAAATGAAGCGTAATTTTTAGCTAATTACGCATACGCCGCATTGTGCAAGTGCGCCCGCAAATGCGACAAATATTTTCACTGCAATTTGCATGCAGCACAAGTGCGTGATGGTGTTGGTGCATGTGTGTGTGTGTGTGTGTGTTGGTATTTGTGTTGGCATTTGTGCTTGTGTTTGCCTGCATAGCAGCCATTTTGTCGCTTATGCTGTCAGTTCGGGGTGTTGGCCGCGTGTTGCCTGTCAGCCGCTGGCTCAGGTGGCAAGAGGCTCGCGTTGGCCATGTTTGCCTGCTGGGCGTCGCTCTGGCCGCCTGCTGCTGCTGCACTCCCTTTACAGTTACAGCTGTGGAGCAAAGTTTTTGGGTTTCGCTTGTCGTTTTAAAGGGCTTCGCCTTTCGGGCCAATTCGCGTACTTTTTGGCCGTCTTCGAAGATCTCGCCGGCGCGCCTTGGTTTATTTCTATTTGTTTACGGTCTCGGGTCGCTTGCGGCCAACTAGAGTTTAGATTTTAATCAACGCATGCATGAAATTTGCATTTGCCACAGCTAACCAAATTGTTGGGAGCTCGTGGGAATTGTACACAATTGAAATTGAAATTAAGGCTCGCGTAATGGCTCGGGCAAGGGTTACAATTTTCTTCTTCTACATTTTTTTTTTTTTTTTTTGGTGGGTTATTATGCAAATTTTTCTAATGCTCTGCGGGCATACAACAAACGAAAAAGTTTCGGGCTGAATTAAAAGTTATTAAGCTTTAAAGACTTTCCACTGCAATCTGCAATCTGCAACATAAATTAGCCAAAGTCTGAGCCTGAGCCAGAGCCAGAGCCAGTGCCATTGTCTGCTGACTGTTGTTTATGCTTGGGGTCTAGATGCGGCTGTTTATGTTTATCAACAAATTATGGCAGTTGCCCCTAAATAGTGCAAATAAACACATTTGCAAGCAAGCTGACAATGGAATCTGAATTCGCTTCTATCAGCACAAAATTCTATGGATTCGTGCAAATATTTAACATGGCCAACAAAGCAAACAAGCAGCCATTAATAATATTGCCAACATTTTGAACAAAGCGAATGTCCTTTTATTGCCATTACTTCGAATTCTAATCGCACTTCTCGAAACTTTCGCAAACAATGAGTTTTTGAAATTATTGAAATGAAAACAAAAGTTTGGGCCACTTTTCAGGCATATTAGCCATTGATGTGAGCTCAATACGGAGAGACCAAGCATGAGTGATACTATTTGTTATAGCCATAGTTGGGCGATTGTTCAAGCTATCGATAAGTTTTAGCTGTTAAAATATTTGAAATATTTTTCCACCTATTTTTCTGTCTGATATTCGGATTGATTATTGAATTGTCTTTATCAAAATTTTATTTTAAACTGAAAGTATTACCAGATTTTATATTTTACATAAATTGCCATAGATATATATTTGAATCAGCATTAATACCATATTCATATCTCAGATAGTTTTAATTTTATTACCGTTTTCTTTTATTATAGCTCTTAATGGGTCAGCCAATAACCGGCCTGGCATTTCCGTTACTTAAAGCCTAGTTGCTTGCTGTTATTGACAGTTTTTTATATCAACTAACTCAGAAACGTTGCTTTTATTTTGCATTCCATTCATATCAATAATTAATCTATCCCACGTCTGACTCATTCAATTAATTTGCATTCGACTTAACTTTGCTTGTTTTTGCCAAGTATTTAATAGTGCACATGCTTCATATATAATGCAGGCTAGAATCTCTAATAGCTGATGCCAATTGTCAATTAAGACGAAACACCTATTGAGCGCCAGGTAACGTCAGGTAGGCTGTAACAGGTGCAAAAGCAATGCGTAAATTGAATGATACGATTGCTGGCAACAACTACACATAAATTACTTCTTAATCGGCTCAAAGCCTCTTATGTGCCATATTGTGTTTTAAGTGGGCGTACACCCGCCACCCAAAAAAAAAAGTGGGCGTGGCTGCGTTAAACTGCATTTATCAAGCGCTTAATGCGACTTATGTAGGCAAAACCAAACCGCTAAGCGGTTTGCTGTGCATGTGTGTGTGTGGGAGTATGTGTGTATAAGTGGGTGGTTAAGTGTGCATCTGCATCTCATTACGAGTAGCTGCAACAGCAGCAACATTCGCAGCGCCTGCTCAGATGTCGCCCAATATTAAATTCCGAAGCTGTTCCAACACTGAAACTCTGTGAAGTGTGTGGGTAGGTGTGTGTGTGTGTGTGTGTGTGTGTTAACTTATAATGGAATTTTCACATTTTTCATGCTAATAAGCGCAACTCTCATGCTCTTAATTATGACATTATAATAACTTAGTTAGCTTTGCCGTCTGTGGAGCAGGAAGTTGCCAACATCGAATTCAAAGTTGAATCGCAACTCAATTAAGTTGCCTCGGCGATTGACTAGAAAGAAAGAAAGAGCAGACAAGAGTGTGAGAGAGAGTGAGATAGAGAGAGAGAGGGGAAAACTTTGTTAAACTGAACAGCAAGTAAAGTTATCTCTAGCGACTAAGCGATAAGAATCACCTGCACTGCACGCCTAGCCCAAGGCGAGGCCGTAGATGACCAGCTGGAAGTGCGCCCTGGGCACCTGTTCGTAGCGCTGGAAACGCACAACGGCATGCCGTTGGCCAACGCCGCCGCTGAGCAAACGCACCTGGCCGCCGTTGCCGCCCGGCAAGGTCATGTCGTAGGCATGCACCGCCGTTATCGTATAGCCATCGACTGCGCTCGAGTTCTGTGCGAGAGGGATAAATGTCATGTTGTGCGCTTATTTCCATACACCTGTTTGTTGTTGTGCTACTACCTGTGCGCCGTATGCAACATCCCGAACATCCACACTGACAGCTGTGGCATCCGCATCCGCATTCGCATCCGCATCCATGCTGCTCACGTGCCCCAAGTAAACATCTTGTGCATGCAGCGTGCTGGCATATTTGTTGACATGCCCCCAGGTAGTTGTGGCGCCATCGCCGCGCTGCAGCAGCAGCAGCACGGGCAGCACCAGCAATAGGCTGATAAGCGTAGTTTTTGTTAACATAACGGTCGCATGTGGCACACACAAACACACGCACGCGCGTAAATTTTCGTACGGTTTGTGCAACGCGCAAGGTGTGAAACTCAAATGAGTCGCGGCCAAGTTAAATATTAACGCGCTGTCTACCTTCAAATGTCTTATCAGCTTGCAGGTGCTTTTATCACTCTCTCTCTCCGTCTCTCTGTCTCTGTCCCACACACATTTTCACGCGGTCACAGTCGCTCCCTTATCGCTCGCTCTGTCCAATGACATCCTCCACTCAGACTTGTTGTTGTCTTCTGCTTCGGCTCTCCAATAATTACTCTATGCATTAATTGCTTCAATATGGGAAAACACAATGTTCGAACTCTCTGCCCGACGAGTCGCGACTGTCGCTTATCAGCTTATCATTCTAATTGATATAGATTTCAGCGTCAGCAGCGCCCGCACTTGCGTAAATTCTATTGAGTAAGCTGAGCTAATAGGCCGACAATGGCAAACTGTGCAAATGTTGATATTCCCAAATATGTAATGTGCTTACACAAATTGAGGAGCATTGTGAAACAAGACTGGAGTGTGCTACAGAATCAGCTGTGCTGGGAAGAGGCGAGGGCATTGGGGAAATAGAACAAGCTAAGACGATAAAAGCTGAAAGTGTATAAAGAGATTTGAGACTATGCAAACAGCAATCAAATATAATTAGTCGAAGATTACAATAAAACAAAAAACAAAACAAAAAATAGTTGAATTTTATTCATTTATTATTATGAATAGCATGTTTAAACAACTAAAAAAAATTGCCAAATTAATAAATGATATGAAAGCACTATAAGAAAATTAAAAAAAAAATGTTAATTTTAT